CCACTCTTTCTGTGGTAAAAGAGCCATTAACACAAGATTATAGCACAAGGTTGCAATTTAGTTCAGTTTAAGAGGACACAGTCCTGTGGATGGGAGGAGAAATAAGGCAGGAGCTGCTGGGGATGGGAGGGATTATCTTGAGCTGGATCCAGTGACCTAGGCTAGACCTATGGAGTCATCAGGGAGCCCGAAGCCTGTTTCCCACACCATCATCAGGCATGATACTGGATTTAGTGCTTGATTAAGTTCCAAGTTAGGTCAATGATAAAGCAGCTGTTAAAGGGCATGTCTGAAAGCAAACATAACCAGATGAAAGTAAAGCCAAGTCTCAAATTAGCTGTGCCGTGACCTGTCCTTGGGAAAACTCCACTTGAAGCTACACAACCAGAAAGAACATGGCAAGAGAAGAATGGAGCTGTGCATGCTGCCCGTCAGCTGATGTAGTTGGTTCTTTTCAAGAGAGCAACTCAAGATAGGGGCTTTATCTACTTTAGCTCAAGCATATCTCTCATCTTGAAACCTGTTCTGAAGTAAAGATAAAGCCTTAAGTCACTTCAGGAAAAATTACTGGGAAAACTGACTTTGGAAATACATGACAATTGGAGAGAACAAAAGGATTAGTAATACACCCAGTGTAGGAACTAAGAGTGCTGCCTGCAGCTATTACATTTAGGCAAAGTGCCCTTGAGCTTGAGAATAAAAGCAAAATAGGAAAAGCAGCTTGTTTGTTAGGAGGAACTGCACAGCAGTTTCGGTGACACCTCAGCCACCATCCATCACCTGTCAAGAGCTTGTGGCTATTCATACACAAGTGCTTCAGGAATGCTCGGCTAAACCCAGCCACAAAAGCACCCAGACAGGACAGTTCACTTCCAAGACTATGCCACGCTAATCTGGACTTTAAGTCCAACCTGCAAACAGGGCTGTACATATTTAACCCAACACACATCACTCGTATCCCAGCCCAGGACCTTCTGCCGCTATAAATCTGCGTTCCTCACTTCTCAGCCACGCAGAATCCCGAGATTCGGGTAAGGGGCCGGCGGAGCCTGCGTGTCCCCCGGGATTTTAGATAACAGGCTCTCGGGTCCGGATGCGGGGTGTGGGGCAGAGCGGTCATTAGGTGACCTTTAATGACCCGCTCCCCC